TTGTTTTGGTAAAATCAGGTAGAATCTGGTACACATGAAAATTGCATTGAATCCTCTAACGTTAGATCTTAGATCCTATCAACTAACTGTCAGAGTCCTGAATATCTGTTACTTTTAACTGCTCAGCTGATGTAGGCATATAAAATGTTAGATATTTTAGAATATATGGAGATACATAGAAACAACAGTAAGTACTTAAGAGTTAAGGCAAGCCTTTACTCTAGGATTGAAGGTAAACAAACATGTGATTATTCATTGAAGGACTGTCTTCTTGAAGGTTTCAGCCCTGGGCAAGTTCACTGTGGATGCTGTGAGATGGAGAAATGACAGTGGAACTGTTCTTGGTGTTAAAGGGTTTATACCCAGCTTTATTCTCAAGGCAGTAGGTCAAGCACTAGGATCATGTCTGTATCCAGCAGTCTGCAAGTCCATAGTCACCTCAGTCTCTGCCTCTGCCTAGAGCACTGGGGGGTAGCTCTTTATATAGTGGATCAGTCAATGATGCATTATTGCCTATCCATGTGAGAGCGGTAGGCCATTTACATCACCAGATAGTTTAGGGTCAGGTGAGGATTCTGGCCACAGGAACTTCCTTTTTCCCCCACAAGGACAAAGAGTGGTTGAGATGACTGAAAGCTTTTGGTGGGTTGTTTTGTATTTTTTAGTGGTAGTTTTCACAAGCATATTTTCCTGCAAATAAAATTTGTCCTTCACCCGTGTAATATAATTAACAGCAACTCTGTTGAAGAAATTAAGAAGTAAGGCAATTTTTCCCAAAAGGATAATATACCCAGTCCTTCCCTTCCTCCGCAAAAGAAATCCCCTAAAACCACATTGTACAGAGAAAAATGCATTACAAGACCATCTGAAATTGCCACCATTACCACAAAGCACTTACTAGTGGTTGAAATGAATAATCCTCAAGAAAATTCCAAAATGAGGTATGAACCAAGGAATTGTTTTCCTTCTTACCAAAACAGGAATTAATAAACTGTGGCTGTTGTTCTTCAGACATCAGCTAAAATATCTGCAGAGAGAGAATAAAATGAAAATATCCTGACCTGTTTCCTTTGTTTTCTGAGTAAACTATATGTATGTAGTGTGTGTGATTCTACCAGAAACGGTTTGTTGGGGTTATCATGATGAGAGAGCGGTCCTGGGTCCCTGCTCTCCATAGTTGTCCTCCAGGTCAGCTGGGCTGCCTTGAGCTTTCACTGGTACAAAGGCCAGAGTATGGCATATAAGTAGTACTTGAGCCTTGCCCTCTGTGAGGATTGGGATGGGTAACTAGTCTCCTGGTGTCCTGAAAGCCCCATCCCATTACATTTAACAGATAAATTTGGTTTAGTGCAGAAAAAGTGACATCTCTAACTTTGGTCAAATTTCTAGAAGCCTTTAAAGCATCAAAAGCTGCTTCAAACTTGGAGGTGATTCTTACTAGTAACTCTTGTGTAGACTCTTAATTTCCATTTTCTAAGGCTTTATTAATGCTGCAGCCCCAGAAGCTGAGGCTGACCCTCATTTATTTTAGCTGCTGCTTTGTCTTTTCTTTTTTTCCCCTTAAGTCACCTGCTATTTTCACTTCAGAGATTGGGGGTCATACAATACTGAGAGTTAATGCCTCTCACACTCATCACAATATTTTCTTCACCTGTACACCACCTCAGAGGGTTGGACTGGAATTAGCTCTGAGGATCCTCTTGTCCATATTCTGCTGCCTGTGGGTAGAAAATAGCTTTTGGTTGCCTATTATATTCAGGGACAATGAGAACCTCTCAAAAATACTGTTTTTTCTGAGACTCTCTTGCCCATGGCCCTGACTTGTACTGTTGTGGAAAGAGAGTGAAGCTGTTGTGGTCTGGCTGGAGAAAGGGAGCCATTCCTCTGATGGAGGTATTAGCAGTTCCCCCAACAGTAAACACACCAGTATCATGTGGGAGTGCCCAAATTGCAAGTATAATTGTGGGTTTTCCTCACTATTGCTTGCTCCTCATCAGTGTGGTAGTACAAACATCAATTCTTGTTTATGGATGGTTCCTACTCTGGAAGAACTCACTAGTAAGCAAAACGATGGTAAAAACCAACTCTAATACTTGGTAATAGTATCAGGAACATATGCTCTTAAATGACTGTAAGGGAGGAAATGTTTTCTTGAGGAGATAATAGCATATTTAACAATGTTACTCTGAAAATAAAGAGGTTGCCATATATTATATAAAAGCGATCAATGGATTTCTTTTTCACTTTTAAACCTAGTTTTTAAGGATTGCCTATAGATATTCATACTGGACAGGAGGATTATTATTATTTTGGTATCATTAATCTACAATTACATGAAGAACAATATGTTTACTAGACTCCCCCCTTCAACAAGTCCCCTACACAAACCCCATTACAGTCACTGTCCATCAGCGTAGAAAGATGCTGCAGAATCCCTACTCGTTTTCTTTTGTGTTCTATAGCCCTCCCCATGCCCCCCCACACACATTACACATGCTAATCGTAATGGCCCCTTTCTTTTTCCCCCGCCCTTATCACTCCCTTCCCATGCATCCTCCCCAGTCCCTTTCCCTTTGGTAACTGTTAGTCCATTCTTGGGTTCTGTGATTCTGCTGCTGTTTGGTTCCTTCAGTTTTTCTTTGTTCTTATACTCCACATATGAGTGAAATCATTTGGTACTTGTCTTTCTCTACCTGGCTTATTTCACTGAGCATAATACCCTCTAGCTCCATCCATGTTGTTGCAAATGGTAG